AGAGAAGAGAAGAGAAGAGAAGAGAAGAGAAGAGAAGAGAAGAGAAGGAGAAAGAAAGGAAAGAAAGAAAGAAAAAAGGAAAGAAAAGGAAGGAAGGAAGGAAGGAAGGAAGGAAGGAAGGAAGGAAGGAAGGAAGGAAGGAGAGACAGAAAGAGAAGGGAAGAGAAAAAAGGAAAGAAGGAGAAAAGAGAAGTGGAAACTAAAGGAAATGAAAGGAAAGGAGAAAGAGAAAGAAAAAGAAAAACTAGAATAGGCTTTACTAACAACAAAACAAGATCTAGTTTTCAATGCAAATAATATATAAAATTAAACTTAAGGAGAAAGTTTTTACCAATATGAGCTCCTTGAGTGCATGCCTATCTCACACATCTTTTTATCCTGTGCCTATCATAGTGAATGACAGAGTAGAAATGCAATAAATGTTTAGTGAACAGATGAATAAATGAGTTTACTAAACATTCTTGTGAGCTTAAACCCTTCATTGGCTTTTATAAACAGTATTAACCACCCATTCAACTTGGATAATAAACCTATTTAAAGGATTAATGTGATCATTATAAGTCTGATTTTTACAACTAAAATCATTGAATCTCGTCATCCAAAAAGAATGTCTTCTGATATAACTATCAATGTTTAAATCCCCTCTCTGGACAGACCCCCATCTGGTTTTTCAAAAACTTCCACTGAAAGAGAACTCAACCTGGGCCACCACAGTCTCTAAATTTTGAAAGCTCAGGTTAAAAGTTCTTTCTTTACTGAAACCCCAGTCTATCTCCCCCTAGCTGCATCTATGTGGCCATATGAAAAGAGCCTAGTTCATGAGACAGAGCTTCCAATGTGGGAAGACAGTCGGCAATGACTTCTGTTCCTCCAGACTCACAGTATGGATTAAAGTGCTGTACTCCTGAACGCCTTACATGCTCTTCTTCAGCCCAAATCCCAATTTATCAATCTCTTTCTTAAGGTGCTCACAATGGTCGGACCAATCTTAATTAGAACTGTTAGATTTAATCCAGGTTATTACCTCCCCTGTGCTAAACGTTATTAACATATCCATAGATCACAACGTTTTTCTTTTGATAGCTATGCTGAGACTTCTGTCAACTGATAACTTTAAGTCTTATTAAGTCTCGCCCAGCCATGTTTCTGCCTCAAATCCTGTGGATTTGGTTGGTTACCGGGACTCAGAAGCAGCACCTCACATTGTTCCAGGGATAATTCATCTTGTTAGAGTCTGTCCATCAATGTACTCCATCAAGATATCTCCCTCTGGAGAATGCATCTTTACATTTTCACCAATTAATTATGTTAAGCAGGGAACCCTTTAAAAACCTCCATTCAGGTGGAGAAAGTCCATTATCTCAGTTCTATTACATTCTGTGTCATAACTCAGAGGTAAGGGAAGGAGGAGTTTAATGGGTACCCAAGTCTATAAAGCCAAGGAAAAACTTCTATGAGATTTGCTCCTTCGTCTTAAATGAAAAGAAGTAGTATATGCCTATTTCCTTTTTCATGGTTGCCTGGTTTATTTTGTACTTCAGACCTACTATCATATATTTGTGACTATATAAATGTAACACAATGCAGCTGATCATTTTGTGGGTTATCATAGAAATGATGAGTCATCAAGCACAATTTTAAAAAGCACTCTTTCTTAAAAAGGCTATGTAATTTCCTACTTGCAGCATTAAAATCATCATTTCATTTATAGCCGCTACTAAGTACCACTTTAGAATTAAGATTACATCAAATTGGAGGGAGCTGAACTTTAATTTATCTTATTAATTTTCTTCCTTAAAATAGCTAATGGAAAATTGTGTCAAGCCAATAAATTTGCTGATAAATTTGATTTCTTAGGATTTGTCATTATTGTATGGCATTTCCCTACATTTTTTTTAAATTTATTTATTATTATTATACTTTAAGTTGTAGGGTACACGTGCACAACATGCAGGTTTGTTACATATGTATACTTGTGCCATGTTGGTGTGCTGCACCCATCAACTCGTCATTTACATCAGGTATAACTCCCAGTGCAATCCCTCTCCCCTCCCCCCTCCCCATGATAGGCCCCGGTGTGTGATGTTCCCCTTCCCGAGTCCAAGTGATCTCATTGTTCAGTTCCCACCTATGAGTGAGAACATGCGGTGTTTGGTTTTCTGTTCTTGTGATAGTTTGCTAAGAATGATGGTTTCCAGAAGCTGGAGGCATCACGCTACCTGACTTCAAACTATACTACAAGGCTACAGTAACCAAAACAGCATGGTACTGGTACCAAAACAGAGATATAGACCAATGGAACAGAACAGTGTCCTCAGAAATAATACCACACATCTACAGCCATCTGATCTTTGACAAACCTGAGAGAAACAAGAAATGGGGAAAGGATTCCCTATTTAATAAATGGTGCTGGGAAAATTGGCTAGCCATAAGTAGAAAGCTGAAACTGGATCCTTTCCTTACTCCTTATACGAAAATTAATTCAAGATGGATTAGAGACTTAAATGTTAGACCTAATACCATAAACATCCTAGAGGAAAACCTAGGTAGTACCATTCAGGACATAGGCATGGGCAAAGACTTCATGTCTAAAACACCAAAAGCAACGGCAGCAAAAGCCAAAATTGACAAATGGGATCTCATTAAACTAAAGAGCTTCTGCACAGCAAAAGAAACTACCATCAGAGTGAACAGGCAACCTACAGAATGGGAGAAAATTTTTGCAATCTACTCATCTGACAAAGGGCTAATATCCAGAACCTACAAAGAACTCAAACAAATTTACAAGAAAAAAACAAACAACCCCATCAAAAAGTGGGCAAAGGATATGAACAGACAGTTCTCAAAAGAAGACATTCATACAGCCAACAGACACATGAAAAAATGCTCATCATCACTGGCCATCAGAGAAATGCAAATCAAAACCACAATGAGATACCATCTCACACCAGTTAGAATGGCAATCATTCAAAAGTCAGGAAACAACAGGTGCTGGAGAGGATGTGGAGAAATAGGAACACTTTTACACTGTTGGTGGGATTGTAAACTAGTTCAACCATTATGGAAAACAGTATGGCGATTCCTCAGGGATCTAGAACTAGATGTACCATATGACCCAGCCATCCCATTACTGGGTATATACCCAAAGGATTATAAATTATGCTGCTATAAAGACACACTTCCCTAGATTAATGCTGTTTTCTTCATATTTTGAGAACTAAGATTGCCATGTTACTAGGAACCTGGAGACAGGAGTCCACTTGCAATAGTCATACACACTTTATGTTTATATAAGTGATAAATACATTTATTTTACATTTTTGATCTTACAGCATATTTTATATTTCATATGTATACAGATAAAATGTACATTTATGTTTAACTTACAGAATTTTTTGGCATTTACTTATTTATTCATTTATTTTAGAGATGGAGTCTCACTATGCTGCCCAGGCTGGTCTTGAACTCCTGGGCTCAAGAGATCTGCCCACCTCAGCATTCCAAAGTTCTGGGATTAGAGACATGAGCCACAGCACCTGGCCAAATTTGGCATTGAAATTGGGGGTTTCACAGATGCCCTGAAGCTTCTCCCTGCTCTCGCTTTCAGAAAATTCATAGATCTCTAAATTAAAGTTTACCGGCCAAGGAGGTCAAGAATGAAAATGAAAATAATGGCTTTGCCTCTGAAAAGTATGATTTATTTGGCTCCTTAACTCTACTTGATGGTTACTTCTAACAACATAGCATAGGATGCTACAAAGACGATCAGAACAATAACATAACTTACATTACATTTTATGTGACACAGGTAAATAAGCTTTTATTCCCATAGCATAGACACCTCTGGACTTCTGAAACAGAATCCTGCGACCACTGCGGATGACACATAGACTCTTATTAAGCTGCAGTTCCAATGCCTGAGTAGCCTGAACTGCTTCTATGATATGGCATTATTTAGCCTTTGTGCCTGAAACAGCCCTGATGAGAAGGATCTCGCCACCTCACGGCATGGCCCATTTCATTTTCAGAAGCTTTCTTTGTAATCTGTGCTTATAAAATTGTTAACAGGGGATAGCTAATAAAATGGCCTTCTAAAAACTCTACACTTCTCTCTCTTTCTGGCATTTCTTCCTTTCAGGCATTTTCTGTAAGTGTTCATCTAGCTAACTTTACCTTATCATTCTAGTGTGAATTTAAGCATCTGAGAGTGTTTGCAAATTGACTTTAAGATAATAGTTTGTTCTAATAATTTGTCAAAAGTTGAAGAGACTTTTCATTAGAACCCAGAATGTCATTAAATTTCTGAATTCATCCAATACTCCAATTTAGGATATCACAAATCTGATACTATTTGGACACAGTAAATGTTTAGTTGTTTAATTATCACAGATACTGTCAAATAGTTCTACTTTCTTGCCCCTCTTGTTATTAGGTAAACTCTAAGAATCACAATTTTAACAATAATAACATTGATGTACGCAAATCTAAAGAAATGTTATGACAGTTGCATAAATCTTTGAAATAGCTACCTTATTCAGAATCCAGGTTTTTCTTTATTAACAAGTTCAGTGACTAATGACAACAATGGAAAGCAATGCTAGAAAGTGAGTGCATATGTATCTTTCCCAGTGGTGTCTATTTTAGTATAGGATAACATGTTAACAATGTCAGTGGGAACCTATTCTGACAAATGATAGATTCCAAAATATACAACCTGGATTATTTTTCATGTTAAGTTTTATGTGGCAGGGATTTGTGTATTATAGACCTATTTATGCTATAAGAAGTTGAGAGCTATTGTGTGCTTCCAAAGAAATGAGGATGCAAATATCAGAAAAGTTACCTTCCTAAGGAGTTATAAAAGCAATAATAGATTGTTTCCCTTTTCTTTCTTTATTGTTTAATTGTTGCTTGTCACATATCAAGTGTTGGGTTGTAATTATCTGCTTTTTAAAGTAACCCACATTATCAGCAAGTGCTTAGGTGGCCAGATATTGGCAGGAAAAATAAAGGGCATATTAGTCACAGTCACCCATGCAGAACCTTGACATCATATATTTTAAGCTGCATGTTGCATAACTGAGATTAGTTTACTGCCAAGTCAGGTACACAGTGGACATTTAAATTTGTAATAGTGAAATACTTAAAGGTGTTCTGCAAAGAATAACTATGCTCAGCACTTTTCAAGAGTAATGTATTTTCAGACTACTTAAAAATAGCCAATGCATGCTGCGCTTAATACCTAGGGGATGGGTTGATATTAAACAGGTGCAGCAAATCACCATGGCACATATTTACCTATGTAACAAATCTGCACATGCTGCACAGGTACCCCAGAACTTAAAACAAAAAAAAATTTTTAAATAAGATTATCTAGGTATCTCTACTTAAAAATAAAAGGGATTGTGGGGAAAGGTGTGGCACAGTGGCTCACACCTGTAACCCCTGCACTTTGGGAGGCTGAGGTTGGCAGATCGCCTGAGGTCAGGAGTTCGAGACCAGCCTGGCCAACATGGCGAGACCCTGTCTCTACTAAAAAAAAAAAAAAAAAAAAATTAGCTAGGTGTGGTAGTGTGCGCCTGTAATGCCAGCTACTCAGAAGGCTGAGGCATGAGAATAACTTGAACCCAGGAGGCAGAGGTTGCAGTGAGCTGAGATCAAGCCATTGCACTCCAGCCTGGGTGAGCAAGCAAGACTCCATCTAAAGAAAAAGAGAGATTCTGGGGAAATTCTGGGGAAAGAAATAAACTTACTTAATAAGAAAAAGAGGGTTGGAAATGGTAGGAAAAATATAGCATAGTGTGTGGTTAAAAACCTAGACTCTGGGGCCAGACTGCCCATATTCATGTACCCGTGCTGCCATTTACTGGCTGTGCCACTTTGGCCAACTGACTTAACCTCTCTGTGCTTCAGTCTCCACAACTCTAAACTGGGGACACCTCATTGGGTTGTTGTGAGGACTGACTGGCATAAATACACGTGAAATGCATCGAACAACTTCTGTGTGTTTACTATTATTAACCTAATATGTGAAATGAAGAATACAAACTATGTAAAAGGAAGCATATCCTTGGAAAGAAAATTTTAAAATTCCACAAAATCCATGTTACGAGTATTTACTGAGCACTCTCTGTGTGCTAGGAACTCTTCCGAGACCAGAGCAAGGAACAAGACAGATGAGGTCCCTGCTCTTGTGTAGCTGAGAGAGCTAAAGAAGAGATTAACAAAATAACATCCCCAAATTTGATTGTTCGTGAAGAAAACACAACATTAAGATGAACCAGAAAGAGGTGAAACATTCCATTTAGAAATTCTGTTTTAGGAAATGCAATAGATTAAGAATGCCTTATGTGTTGATATGCTACAAAGAGAAAATTACTCTTAAACCCTTCTGGATTCAAAATGAGTTTACATGATGACAATTCTTAAGTTCCTCTGCAACTGGCAATCACCAAATTGTAACTTCTACCTGATAGGGGCTCTTTTTGGTAGCCTGAGATATCTTAAAGGAAAAACACAATCCACAGAAAAGGAAATTCAAGAACCACTTGTTTAATTGATGAAGCAGATCTGTAGATACTGAATGTAACCATTATCTTTTTTTTTTTTTTTTTTGAGACAGAGTCTCACTCTGTTGCTGTAGCTGGACTGCAGTGGCATGACCTTGGTTCACTGCAGCCTCAACTTCCCAGGCTCAAGCAATCCTCCCACCTCAGCCTCCTGAGTAGCTGGCACCACAGGTATATGCCAATGCATGGCTAATTTCTGTATTTTTGGCAGAGACCAGCTTTTGCCATGTTGCCCAGGCTTGTCTTGAACTCCTGAGCTCAAGCAATCTACCCACCTTGGCCTCCTGAAGTACTGGGATTATAGGCCTGAGCTAGAGTGTCCAGCCCCATTATCTCTTTATGTGGCTTTTAGCAAGCTATTCAAATATTCTCTACTGAGGGACCATATATGAAATTAGAGAATAGTTTAATATTTACTATGAGAATTTCATCCATGTAAGCTGTCTAAATGAGATTAAGATTTGCTCTATAAATTGTGTTGAAAGGGACTCAGAAAACAGTAGCACGTGACTGACATACACCTGCATGTCCTTTCCATTTTCTGCAATTTCAACAGCAACTACTGACAGCACATTAACCAGTTGCTTTCAACTTTCATTTGGTATTTAACACCCATGATGAAGACATTTTATTAAAATGCTAAGTAACTGTTTTCCAGTTATATGTTTTATCTACATAATTAAGAAACACTTTAGAAAAAGCCCACCGCACTCTGGAGCTGTGTAACTTCTCTTGCAAAAACACTGTCAATCGTGGCTGGCATCCGCTTATAAAGAGAATTAGAAAGATCTGCTTTAATGGTGCCTTTATATTTTGCCTGGGGGGAAAAAAACAGGAAAAAAATTAATAAATAAACTTCCATTTTTTTTAAATTGTGAATTTAAGAAGAAAAGAAGAAACTTTCTTCCAAAACAGAATTGATTTTAAAATCTGCACACCATTTTAATTTTAGATACTGGAGTTGACAAACATATTCTGAAGAGATAGAAATAAATCCAATTTATCATAGAGAATGCTTTCAATGAGACATGCAGGGACATAACGGCTGTCTTTCTATTTAAACACAAGCACATGTCTAAAAGTAAATCTATTTGTGTATATTGACAGTTTCAAGCTGGATGAGTGAGCAAGCAATTCGAGTTGTTCCAGAAAATACAGGTCGTTAGAATCTACTATCTAGAACTTGACAAAGGACAGCGTTCTTTTATTGAGGTCTTCTCAGCCTCCTCCTGTTTCGGGGGAGGGTGGAGTGCTTTTTGGTTGTTTATGTGCCTACCCACCTCTAACCTGCACTGTCTGTAAGCCATCTCAATCACTACTCCAAAGACAAACACTCTTTCCTCTTGGGAAAACTAAGGTTCAAGGGAACACAATAGATTGCTCACTTCCAATATTTTGCTCTGCAATTAACTCCTTCAGGAAACATAATCAATAATGGAGAACATCAAGTATTTATCTGCACAGGATAACGGAACACAGCTAAGACAAACAAACTGTGTTCTTCCATTATCTGCAGACGAGTTCCTGATGTTCTTCCTGCTCAGAGCTAGATTTGAGTATTGATTTATTGAGCACAGATCCTGTGCAAGCCTTCAGCTACCACACGCTTTGGATTCTGGTACCTAATGAAATAAAATGTACTGATTTCATTCAAAATTGTTTCGCGTTAGCAGAAATAATCCCAAGAACATCCAGTTGATCTTTTTCCAACATAATTTATGAAACACTAGAGGTCAGTCATTTACAACACAATTTCATTCCTTTTCTTTTCAAACGTATTTCTTCGAAGTGATCTATTCACAGACTACAGTAATGCCTCATCACAGAAGTCATCATCGTTAACATTATGCTTTACAATGCAACATAAACTGTAGTTCCAAATGCTTTCAGAAAGAAACTACATAATTTTTCAGCAGGAAAATGAATGTAGCGTACTCCTCAGTCTGTGGTTTCATAATAGGTATCACTGTTGAAATGAATTTTATCCTACTCCAAAATAGTTTAAATTCATTTAACATTATTTATCAAAGATATCACATTTTAGAAAACTGGTAAATCTTATTTATTTCCAAAATGATATTCAATCATTTATCTCTAATATATCTATTAGGAAACAAAATAATGGAACTTCTAAAGTGCAGTGCTTTCTACTTAGTGAATAAAAAGATGCCTTTTCAAGAGGAATTGTATATACATAAGAAAGATTTAGAGTCAAAATACAGACATGTATAATAAAATACATAAACCATACATAGTAAAATATGTCAATCTATATGAGTTAAATGACAGTGCATCGCATTAGATAATTATGTAGCTATTACTAACATTCAGTAGTGCTTTTGAAAATATTCTCCATCTCTTTAATGCACAGACTTTCATCTATATAAAAAGAAAAAGAAAAATGCAAGCCAGTTTGCAAGCTTTTGATACCTTACCTCAGAAATAAAAGCACCAATATTTTTTACATGGTTTAGCATAGGAGTGTCAGTCACAAATGTACACTTATCCTTGGACTTTTTAAACTCTTCTTTATAATGGATCTAAAAAAGAGAATGATTTACATAAGAAAAGAAAAAGAAAAACAATTCTAATGGCCTTTTTTGAATGAGAATTAGGTCGATAAAGTCCATTTACTGAAGTAAATACTCAAATGTGAAAGGGGCCTCAAAACAAGCCAAGTTAAATAAACAGATATCCAGCACAGGATTGCAAAGATGATGAGGCACAGTGAGGAAAGACCATTCTTTAGATAAGCGAGGGTCCAGTTAAGCATCAACACCCCGGATGATGGGTCCTGTTTACCCAGCCTGCCCAGTGCAATTAGCAAGCATGTGCCATCTCACTCCTACAAGTGTCCTGGTGTTTTGTTGCTTTTAAGCCTTGACACTTAAGCCTTTGGCCAAACAGAAACATAGCTGCCTACCTCAAGGTAGAAAATAAGTAGTCAGCATGACAGATGTGACCAATTAAGAAGTAGAGGCAGAAATCAAATGGGGATCACTATTAGCGTTACCACCTAGACATGTTTGATTAGAGCAAGTGGCTTAAATTGTGGCCACCGTGGGCTTCCTGTTACTAATTCCTCCCAATTTGTGAGCACCCATAGGTTTCCCAATCCTCCTCCCCAGTGCAGAGAAGTGCTGAACCTACCCAGAAGGTTTGCTATGTGGTAGAGATCATTCCAGAATGCCTTCTTGCTGGAGATCAGCAAGAGAAAGCCCAGTGAGGCTTAGCCAAGCCTGCTCATCTCTTCTCTGCAACTCACAAGTCAAATGACTCACTTTCTTCCCCTTTGGGGAGAGGCCAGAATTGTTAGGCTGGGGGAAGACCCGGGTTGACATTTCAGCCCAAAAGAAGTCAGGAAATGTGGAGAAGGACCTAAAATATAATCACACTGTCACACTAATTGCCGCACAATCTGGAAACTGGGAGGCAAAACGATGACTCCTTGAGAAGATGGAGGTAATTTGCTAAAAGTTGTATCACTCTGTAATATAGTCATGTTTATCCTCCCAAGACCATAAATACTTAGACTGAAAAAGTGTTCCTGTTTCAGATGATAAATTATATGTTCTCCCTAATTATAACCCAAAAGTGGAGTTGAATTGCATATATTACCTGGTTCTTAGAAGACGTGAATAATATTGATGTTATACACTAATGGTACGTGGAGATTTTCCCATATGCAAACCTGATTTGAGGGGCATTACTTAACCTGCGGTAGAACTAGATACGGATTAAGTGAAGTTATTTCAAATTGCCATATTTCACTGCTGTGACTCTTGGATATCAGATGCCTACCACATTAAACATTTGCTTTATTCATGAAATCAACATGAGAACATATTTATCTTATCTGAGCACTAAATTACTTTTTTTTCTTCTCAGAGATTAGCCATAATTTTAGGTTCCTGCAAATCACCCTCCTCAGCTACTAGTAATTAAACTGTTAATGGCAGTATGATAAATAGTAGGCTATTTTGATCATACGGAGAAAAAAGTATCTCCGTTATATAATTAAGTGTGAGAGAAAATAGCCTATCATTAGGCTTAAGTTTGACTCATTATTTTTATCTTTTGCCACCATCTATTCCCCATCACATTCACATTCTTCACTGCAGTGGGATGTGCTTGTGGCTACAGCCTCCTGATAAAGTCTGGCACATGCAGAATGTTCAGGACAGGAGGACTGGATAAGGGTGAGGTATTTACTTCTTCTGTTAGGCAGACAAATAGTTCAGTCTTAATTGTGGACTGTGTTTTTTTCTTTCCTTGGGTCTTTATTAAAAAGATACATATATTTGTATATCTTCATTGAAGGTGTATTTAAAATTTAAGATCCTTTACAATTGTACAATTCAAGAGAAATTGTACAATTTGTTGTAAGTAACACACAATCACGTGTGATTTCAAATGAATTATGCAATATAAATGACAATAAGCAAAGAATCTTAGATTTTTAAATATTTAAGGAATATTTATATAAATAATAGTTACATATTAGTAGCCTTCCTATGCCAAGATAATAGGAAATGATCGCTGAAAGGGAACTATATTGGTCAATGAAATAAATCTTAGGTAACCTAAAAATCACTGAATAGATGGCTATATTTTATTACAACCATGTCTACATCTTATAATCTCGGGTTGACACCACCTATTGGATAGACTGACTGGCCACTCCCATTGCCGCCTATTAAAAGAGCCCAGATGGATTAATGAGAGCAGTCAGGCTCCTGCCCCAGCCCCAGAGGACAAACTGATCTAAACGAGGCATGGTCATGCCATTCAGTGTTTGGCCTGGGGACACCACAAGCTCTGCGACTTTAGTGGAAATCTTCCCAGAAGTGCTTCTAGCATTTCTGATATAAAGGGAGAGATGCTGCACAACCCTTTGACACTGTCTTCTACCTTTTTCTTTCTCAATCACAGGGAAGGCAGCGGCAATGATGCATTACCAAGGAATAAGCCACCATACTAATGACGACAGAATAGAAAGAAAGGAGCCTGGGAGACTGATAATATCCATAGTATCCAGACTGAACTACCTACCTCCAGGCTCTATATGTGGCGGCTGGGGAAACAAAAACCTACTTGTTAAGTGATTGTGTTAGAGTTTTCCTGTTTTTACAGTCATCTGCACTCCTAACCAATACACAACCCAACTCATTTTCACACTGAAAAACAAAAAGGGCAAAATGGATGACTTCATGATCATTAAGACGTCCCAAACATTGACCTTCTCTTTTGCCCTTACCCACGAATCCCACAATGTCTTCATTACAGTTAGGATGAATTTAGTGCAGGGTCGCTTCCTCCTCCTGGCCAAGTTTCTTTGAATGAGTATGAGATCAGCCAGAGGCTGAAATCGGATGACAGACATGGAGATGTTTGAGGCTCTTTCCTTTCACAAGCATTCTTTTTTTCTGTTTTTATACTTTAAGTTCTAGGGCACATGTGCACAACGTGCAGGTTTGTTACATATGTATACACGTGCCATGTTGGTGTGCAGAGAAATGCAAATCAAAACCACAACGAGATACCATCTCACACCAGTTAGAATGACAATCATTAAAAAGTCAGGAAACAACAGGTGCTGGAGAGGATGTGGAGAAATAGGAACACTTTCATAAGCATTCTTAACTGAAAGTATCTGGAAAGCCTTTTCACAAGTGAAATCATACAAGTTACAGTCAAAAAACCATGGTAGAAAGAATTATGGCTCCATTATTATTTAACTGGGCTGGTCATAGCTAAGGTCACTCTCCCAGGTTTTCTGATACCATCTAAGCTTTCTCTGGAGGAGTAACCATAGAATTTAATGTTTTTGGCATTGAAAGGATTTACCCACAACAACGTTCATTTGCCTGGAAAATATTCTTCCTGCTGCCATGCAGATGAACACCCTAAAGAGCCTTGAACTAAACACGGGGTGACAGGCTGCATGCAGATGTGGTTCACCTGCTCTGTGGAAGGCTCTTTCTGCCTAATTCACAAGAAATATACAAAAGATTCCCTTTTGCCCAATCTTTTTTATGACTCCCCATCAGAAGGCTACTAGATCCATGATTCTGAGTGCTCAAGAGAGTGGATAGGCTTAATTTAGTCAACGAATTGATTAGATATTGTTAGATTAGACTAACAGGACTAAATATGAGAGAAAGTATATCTGCAAGAATATATCTGAGAAAATAATAGCATTATGTGATTAACAGAAAAATAAAAGAGGCTGCCTCAGAAGACCAGCTGTTCTTCAAGACTGGGAAGTGAGTTGTGCAGAGGGAAACCCCATAATGTTGGTAGAGCAGGTGCAAACCAGAAACTAGGATGAGGGAGAAACAGAAAGAAAGAAAAATGCCTTATGCTGATTCCCGAAGTGAAGCCACTTGACCTGAAAAACTGACATTTCTCTCTATGGAGAATTCGAAGCAGTGCAGGCCTCCTAGGGCTGATCTCTAGGCCAAGCTTGCTTAACATTTCTACAAACTGTCTGACAAGGGGATGATACAGCAGTGTCTACAGGTCAACTGACTCCCAGCTGTCTCGGTAAGGGAAACGGCAAACTGAGATGAACTTCAGAAGTTTTCAAAGGGCCAGGCAAGAGGGCAGAAAACTACAGATTAGATCTAGCCCTAGTATGGTTAAAATAATTCGAACTATTATTTAAAGATGATGGGTCCTAAGCTAGGAGCTACAGGTCAGAAATTAGGAATTAAATGGCTCTGATGGTCTACAGATCATCAAGCTAATCTAACAGCTTTCTGCAGCTCCCAAGTCTAAGAAACTCTTCATAGCATCACAAAGGGTGCTAGAAGCTAAGCAAAACATTATCATACTCTACACATGATCTAGACCGTCCACATCTGTACCGTTCTGCACAGTTCTGATTATTACATCTTGGTTATTAAGGACATAGGAAGGCTGGAAGAAGTTCAGAGAGTAATAATTAGGCCACACCATGAAGAGAAGTCCATGAAACTATCCCTCTCATCTCTAAAAACGAAGCAGGGCCAGCCTGTTGGTTCACACCTGTAATCCCAGTGCTCTGGGAGAGCGAGGCAGGAGAATCACTTGAAGCCAAGAGTTTGAGACCAACCTGGGCAACATAGTGAGACTTCACCTCTATTAAAAAAAAAAAAAAAAAAAACAAAAACGAAAATTAGCCAGGCACGGTAGCACACACTTGTAGTTCTAGTTACTTGGAAGGCTAAGGCTGGAGAATCACTTGAGCCCAAGAGATTGAGACTGCAGTGAGCTGTGGTCACACCACGGAACTCCAGCCTGGGCAATAGAGTGAGACCCTGTCATAAAAGGAAGGGAAGGGAAGGGTAGGGAAGGGACGGACAGGGCAGGGCAGGGCAGGGGAAAAGAAAAGGAAAAAATCTAAACATTAAATAAGTATCTCAGCAAGTATAGAATTCTATTTGGAAGCAAAATGTGAATGTGAACACAGATATAAATTAAGCCACAATAATAATGTCCTAAATATTTAAGTAGTACATTCTACCATGCAACAAATATCTCTAATAAACAGAAAGTATGCCTATCTGTTTAATTTTACCTACATGGGTGTGAAACGTATGGCTTTAAGCTTTTGCAAAATGATAAAGGCACCACCCCGACAACACATTGGTTTTAAAGTCACTGATAAACAATCTTACCCAAAACAACTCCAACAAAATCACCTACTAACTACAGTTACCACTTTAGTCCTGATGGTTTATGTAACACAAGTTAGCTCAGTTACAATTGCACTTCAATAAAAATATATCAAAGCTGGAAGAGGTTAGGAACTTAGAGTTTTAGTAGGTAGTATTACTACTACTAATAGTAGCGTAATAATAATAAGGCAAAGAACGACATTTCATGGAAATCTACAGTGAGAGATAACTTGGCAGCGTAAGAGGGAGGCCTTTGTGTTCAAATATTACTGCCGCTGCTTAACTGTGTGACCCAGGCAAGATACTGAACCTCTCTGTGCCTCTATCTCTTCACTTCAAAAATGAGAAAAAGCATAGTGCCTACCTCGCAAGCTGCAATCTCTGCACATAGTACTCACTAAATCTTAACTGTTGCCAATATTGTTATTGTTTTTGTTGTCATTTATTATTATTGCAATTTACAAAGAACTTTCACATACAATAGCTAATGACTATTAAGTAATAGCACAAAGAAATACTTAATTTAAAGGGCAATTACATCACATGTCAAGTATATGGGAAAGGGTATGATTTCCACCACCATCCTTTATGCTTGTCTTCTGGTTTGTCAGAAACAGCCAGTCATATCTAAACTGTGATTGGATGGATGTAAAAGTAAGTAACAGACAGAGTAGTTAATAACAGCTAACATGTATGGAGTACTTACAATGTTCCAGATAGTTTATTCAGCATTTTAGATGCATTACCATTATTTAATCTTATTATAAATGTTACAGCTGAGGGATGGAGCCCAGCCAGGTTACATAACCTTTCCAAGGTTATTGTGGAGTCAACCCAGGCAGATTGACTTTGGAGGACGTGCCAGCCCATTGTCCTCCTGCCCAGGACTGACTTCCCTTTGAAAACAAACGTGCAAAACATTCTGATCATCTTGCTCATTATCAGCAACAGAAACAACCAGTATTGTGCTCATCTCTCTAAATGAAGACACAGGCACATATTCACTCTACAGGAGTTGCCCTTCCTCTGGACCAGCAATCCTCTTAGAACTGTTAATGAGGATCATCTAAATTCTCATTCCTGGTGAGCAACATTTTTCCTTGTACTTCTTGAATTCTAGCTTACATATTTAACATAAAACTATACGTTCAATCATTCAATATATTCTGGGATTCCCTTGAAGTGTAATATTGACCAATCCCAGTTACTAAAAAATGTCACAACAAAAATGCCCCTTGCACTAATATCGTTCTCTAATATCAGGGTTCTTAGCAAGCAGCTCGGTCATCCACAAATCCTGAATTGTAAATAAAAGTTATATGCGTAGATATATAGATATATAGATATATGCATTTTCCTGTTCTGAAAGACAAGTCCATTCATTAGATTCTTCAGAATGCCCCAAAATGTTAAAAAATGACTACTCATTTAGATAGAGGGCCTCCCAAGACAAATTACATCATTACATTCATTTTAAAATCTTTGGGAGTTCTCAAATGGAATAAATACTGCAATTCAATGCTTTATGATTTCATGCCAGAGTGACAGCAAACCTCATAAGGGACAGGATTCTGGATTAAGAATGAGGAGACTTGCTCTAGCAGAAATTCTCTGTATAGGTGACCTTGGCGAAATCACTTAAAATTTCAGGACTTTGTTCCATGATCTGGAAAGTGACTGTGTTTTAAAAGGTGATTTCAGGGTTTCCCCCACAGCTCTATGCCTCTATAACATAATAATACCACAGGTACAATGCAAAATAAGACAAAGTACTCCAGCCACTTACATCACTAATGAGTTGCGTGCATTTTCTGGCCAATTCCATGCTTAAGTCTTCAATAACAGGCTTATAGAAGACCTATTTGAAAAAAAAAAAAAAAAAAAGAAAGAAAGAGAACATTTTTCTCATCATCAATTTAGAGGAACAAACGCTGGTCATGAGTATGTTTTCTTACTCACCCGGTCTTCTTCATTTTCTTCTTCCCCTGTTGTTTCTTCTTCAGTTTCATCTTTTACATCCTCAAATACAGGGACCCTCATTTTTACCCTTTAAAATATTTATTTTTAAAATTTACTCATGTGGCGTCCTTTTTCGTACCACAGCGCCCTTGAGATGCTGATGTCTCTAGTGCTCTGTTCGAAACGACCTTGCCCAAGCCTCAGCCCTATTTAGCCCACACTTCACTGCTTATCTCAGTGGTGTGTGAGTGAACAGAACAGGATCCCAGAGGTCTACCAGGCTGGCCTCACAAGTGGACATAACATATTCTTGGGCAAAACTTGATTTTATGAACTTTTAAAGTCAACATTTTTTCCACTGGTTAAGAAATCCAAAAGAGAAAATTTATTTATCTTTTACTAATTCTATTCATTCATAAAAGAGTATAAAAAGGACTTAGAGATTCCACAAAAACTACTCAGCTCTAACACTCAAGATAGCACAGTCCAAAGCCTGTTATCTCAAAGACTCCTCATCTCTGTCTAAATAAAGCTTTCACTGGAATGTCGGACTTCTTTCTGACTTGGGGTAGAGAATCTGGATCATTCAAACTCATTTTGTTAACCCAAATTATATGTTGTATCAGACACACCAGTACTTCTCACATCCTAAAAAATACCCACTTTATATTAGCTGATTAGAGGCTAGTTATTTATTATGAAAAGCCCTTTGAACCACTTCAAAGAATCTATTCTGAGTTAATGATGACTGTTAGTCTTATACTGGCGAGTATGGTATTGTATTAATTGTAAACATCATTAAACATGAGAAGTTGCAGTTAACACGTTGATATATAATTTAACAATTCTAGAAACATCACTGTTTCAAAAATAATCATCATCATCTTTGAATTCTGCAATTCTACTCATCATGTCAATTTTTACAAATTCATTGGCGATGTGCATTATTACTCAATGGGTACCCCACATTCAGAAAAGTTTGGAAAAATAAACCATCACAATATTTATAATGTGGTATATGTCCTTGGTTATGTAAAACCAAGGTTAAAAATACATTTTTCAAAACAAATATTTTAATGCCAATTCAGGCAATTCCAAGACTCTCTACAACTCACGATTTATTAATCTGGTTATTTAAATCCTAGGGGAAATTAGTTTTACCAAGTCATAGCATATTAGCGTTGGGCATAAAAAATACCCTACAAGGAATAGTAATACTGATGACAGAAGATACATATTTATTAAAAATAATACATCATTCTAAGTAGCCAAGCATAACTCTTTTTCTCTTGATATCATATCTAGTTTTCAATGTGTTATTAAAAAAATGCCTTGGCCTTACCTAAACTGAAAACCCTAACAAGAAAAACATTCTACACAGTCATCATTTATAAATTATTTCTGAAATTGTGTTTCATGAGGCAAAACTTCCACAAAAGATTCTGGGGGAGAAAAGCAGGTTTCTTAAACAAATACGTTTGGGAAATCTGTACCCCAATCTCTGCCCCTGCCACTTAGAGATCTACAAGGCATATTGACACATTAGAAGTTCTGAGAAGACCTTCAACCAAAAAACCTACTTAGGCTTGCTTAACCTCCTTTTCCCCTGAACACAAAACCTATCTATCTCATCAAATCTAATCCAATTTAATCTAATCTACCTACCTACCTATCTTTCTATCTACCTATCACTTTTTTTTAATTATACCCACTACCCCAGAAAACTAACACTCCTCTGTGAAATATGACCTATTACTTAGGGAAATATTGCTCTATTCTGCTAAAATGTTGTGTTCTAGAAGGAGCTATTGGTCTTGAACTAGTTTTTGATAAAGGCTAAATTAATGGTATCACATATCCTGTTCACCAGCAAAGTACCAAAAAGAAATTGTCCCAAGCAAGCTAAATTTGGAAACCACAACTAAGATTACAGCCATATCATGCTGGCCCAGTACAGTGGATTCCACAAGGACATTGCTTGTACATTTTATTTGTTCCATAAAAGGAAAGAATGTGTGGATTTTAATTATTTCCCTCAAGTCCTCCGCTGGCCAGAAGACTATTCTAATATTCTATAGATCTATTACATTATCTTTACTGGGAAATAAAGAGGAGTAATTTCTGTAAACTTGTCTTGCAAATTTCTAGAAGTGTAGGGAGAAACTCTCGTCGAAACTGCCTGAGACACACCTTTTGGCTCATATTTGAGGAGACAGTACTGGTGTTGCTCAGGGTGACACCTATTCCCCAAGGTGAATTACATTCATCAGGCTTGCACTGCAGTTATTTCTCATTTCCCATCCTGTAATACGTTCTTAAGGACTCTTCACTGTGCTGCAAGAAAATAAGCTGTTGAGATTCAATGCTCAAAGGTTTGAAAACAAACACCAAACACTATGTGCAATGTGAACACAAATTTTCCATTTGAGATTCTAGAATCAGAATTTCAAGCAAAGGGATCCTTAAGAAATCAATACACCTAAAGCCCTCTCTTTCACAGATGACAAAATGAAGGCTGTGAAAAATTATCTGTCTCATTTACAAACTAGGAAGTACTAGGATCAGAACCTAACTAAAGACCTGTGTTCATTTGTTCAACAAATAAATGTTTTTATGCCAGGCACTGTGCTTGGTATTAGAGATACGATGGTGAATAAAACATCCTCATACTAAGATAGAGCAGGAAATAAAACACTCATCACTCAAGACTTGCTGGATGAAGTCTTCAATGGATTGCTTGGCAAGCTAGAGACAACATTACTTTTGATTGAATGTATCTTTTTTCCTTTCACCTATAATATAAAATTCATGCAAAGTTTTCTCTAAAAAATGTTAAGCCCTGCACTTCATCACAGCAAAGTTTTCTTGTCAATAGCGCTAAAATATGGAGAATAGGAAGAAAGTGTTCCTCATGGACAGCTATCATGTTTCAAAATCCCCTATCAACTTTTCCAAAAACCAAGCTATTTTAATAGATATTTTCACGTTGGGTTGCTGCAAAAGGAAAAATCTCCGTAGCTGCTCATACCTTTTACTTATTGGGCACTTCTTTTATGTTGTTTACTTTTCTACTTTAGTACTCTACCCATGCCTTGATACAGAATGAAACCAAGATGCATCACTTATGGTAAGACTCTCAAAGTCCAGGTCTGGGTCTACCATGTCCTCTAGGGCAAATTACTTAACCCCTCACTACCTCTAATTATTCATAAACAGAAAAACTGAGTTGCCAGAAGTTAATAAAAAGAAAGCACCAGCTGGACGCAGTGGCGCACACCTGTAGTCCCAGCACTTTGGGAGGCTGAGGCGGGCGGATCACGAGGTCAGGAGTTTGAGACCAGCCTTCCCAACATGATTAAACCCCGTCTCTACTAAAAATACAAAAATTAGCCAGGTGTGGTGGCATGCGCCTGTAATCTCAGCTACTCAGGAGGCTGAGGCAGGAGAATCACTTGAACCCGGGGGGCGGAGGTTGCAGTGAGCCAAGATCACACCACTGCACTCCAGCCTAAGTGACAGAGAGAGACTCTCTCTCTAAAAAAAAAGCACCTTAAAAATAGTGGAGCCCCTCACAAACACAAGCTTTATTTCAACCACCAATAAGGGTACACAGTGATGGGAAAAACACTTGGCATGAAAGGGCCTTCTCATTCTCTGTGCCATTAATATCCTTTTAAAGTTAAGAAGGGCCTTCTGCAACTAGACAGTTTAAAGATAAGAGCTCACTTGCATATTTATAATTCAGAAGTCCTCTGATCTTTTGATAGTTTGATGTTTACATGTAAGCAAATGTATTTCCTTAGCAACTGTCAGGTGGGTAATTCAAGTCTCTGGAGACACAGCCCTGCCAAGGGAACATATCCGTGCCACCATCTTGAGTCGTGCAGTGCACAACTGTCGTCACCTTCCTTGAGGTCACCTATGACAAGACTTTCTTGGTTTTTGACTAATGCTTCATACTTATGTCACTTTTTTCTCCTTTTTTTAATAATGATAGAACATGTGCTTTTCCCCAACATGGTGATACATGATTTAAAAATAAAAATTATAATAAACAATTGAAATAGATCCAGATTCAGTTCTGAGTGGGGGGAAAAAATACAGAGATAAACTGTTTTTTCTTTTAACTTGAAAAATGAATTCAATATTTCTTATTATAAAATATTCATCCTAAATGGTTAAGTGAGAGAAGAATTTGTTTGCCTGATTTGTTTCCCTGCCGTGATGGCTTTTCACACTCATTTTTTGTAAAGTATAGACAGTATCAAACTCTATACATATTGTTTTTCCTATACATATATACCTATGATAAAGTTTAATTTATAAATTAGAATAGTAATGACATGAAAAGACATTTCCCAAAAGAAGATATACAAATGGCTAACATATGAAAAAAATGCTCAATATCACTAATCATCAGATAAATGCAAACTAAAACCACAATAAGATACTGCCTTAATCGTCAGAATGGTTATTATTAAAAAGTCAAAAAACAATACATATTGGTGTGGATGTGGTGAAAAGGGAACACTTACTGCTGGTGGGAATGTAAATGAGTACAACCTCTACAGGAGACCATATGAAGGTTTTTTAAAGAACTAAAAGTAGAGCTACCATAGGATTCAGCAATCCCACTACCAGGTATCTACCCAAAGGAAAAGAAGTCCTTATATCAAAAAGACATCTGCATGCGTTATGTTTCTCACAGCACAATTCACAATGTCAAGCATATGGAACCAACCTAACTGGCCATCAACCAATAACTGCATAAAGAAAATGTGGTATGCATTCACCATGGAATACAACTCAGCCATAAAAAGAACAAAATAATGTCTTTTGTAGCAACTGGAATGGAGCTGGAGGCCATTATTCTAAGTGAAGTAACTCAGGAATGAAAAACCAAATACTGCATATTGTCTGTCACTCGTAAGTGGCAGCTAAGCCATCAGTATGCAAAGGCACACAGAGTACTGTAGAAGTCTCACATAGAGACTCAGAAGGGAGAAGGGTAAGGGATTAAAACCTACAGATTAGGAACAATTACACTACTCAAGTGACAAGTGCACTAAAATCTCAGACATCAACATAAAATTCATCCACGAAACCAAAAACCACTTGTACCCCAAAAACCATTGAAATAAAAGTAAATTTTAAGATGTCACAGTAAGAGATCAACTAGTAATAAAATAGAATAATTATAACAAAATGCTGTAATAAAGTTATATGCATGCATTCTCTTTCTCTCTCAAAGCATCTTCTGATGTACTCACCTATTTTCAGATCTTAGTAACTGAAACCTCAGAAAGGAAAACCAGAGATAAGGGAGCATTACTGTAGCTATGTTCCTGGGAAGGCAATTGAGTACTGCCCACGAGATAGATCCTTTTTGCACCTATTTGTAAATGCATTTCAGTGTTCTTTACTACGCATTTACATGTGGTTCTTCAGAATCACCTATGAACCAACTGTAAGGTCTTACTGGTACCCTCGTGTATTAATGAGTTATAAATCTTTGAAATGTGTTTATGTTTTATGAGAGTTGTGACTTTACCATTTAAAGAATTCTGTAATGATGCAAGTGATTTGATTATCCTCAATTCTTTAACATTCAGGAAAAATAGAAAGAAAAAGGGCATTATTGGAGAAAGCCCACCTCTCAATTGTGAAATTTAGCTGTAAAAATTTCTAGCATTTATTGATATCAGCTTTTGGTTTTGTTTTGTTTTCAGGTGGGATCTCATTTGACTATTGGCAAATGTCACATGTGTGCTTGTATATATGTACATTCACACATGCAACACACATACATGTAACAAGCAGAGTTAATTCACCACAGCTGCCGGTTCTTGCTCGAAAAGCATAAAAGGCTTCAGTAAATGCAATGACTTAATTACTTCTCACATCTGGAAAAACTTGAATATGAGAGTGGATTTATTGAAGAAGCTCTTTGCTTGGCTGTCAACACCATATCAAGAGCCAGAAAGAGAGTGGGCTTGATCACTCTTGGCAATTCTTTAACCCATTCATAGATAGATGATCTACCAATTAATTCATAACATGTCCTGTTTATATGATTTATGAATTTTGTGAAAACACAGCAATGTAAATACTTTCCTAGTAATTTATGGAGAAAAGCTGTTTTTGTAATGTTTCCAAGAGGAAAAAAAGCATACATTAAAATGGGGAAATAATAAAGAAGTTTTCACTTTCAAGGAAACAAAGGAAAGGGTTTTGGGGGTTATAGAGCATATTGCGAACAACCATTAGAACTGTAACTTACACAAACACATGCAAAACTAGATGATTTGGCACTTTTTGGAGAAAGTGTAATATAGTTCTCCTAAAAGGGAACAGGGGATTTATATGAGCTCATAGCAAGAAAATTTAGTAGAAATCAAGTGTATTAGTCCATTTTCACACTGCTATAAAAACATACCCGAGACTGGGTAATTTATAAAGAAAAGAGGTTTAACTGACTCACAGTTTCACATGACTGGAAGGCCTCAGGAAACATACAATCATGGCAGAAGGGGAAGCAGGCACTTCTTACATGGTGGCAGGCAAGAGAGAGCCAGCAAGAGCAGGGAAAACTGCCTTATAAAACCATCAGATATCGTGAGAACTCACTCACTATCACAAGAACAGCATGGGGGAAACTGCCCCCATGATCCAATCACCTCCCTCCCTCAACACGCGGGGATTACAATTGGAGCTGAAATTTGGGTGAGGACACGTCACCAATAAACACGTCACCAATAAACAACGTCACCAATAAACAACCAGATCTCCCCTAGAAAAGGATACTGAAACTGGAATTAGGCAAAATGATGATAAGGCATCCAAAGAGCAATTTGCAAAGACCCAGAGACAAGAGTTGAAAAAATCAAAAGTTCTATGTCACTGGAGCAATACAATAGGACAGAGATGAGGGAAGGAGAGGAGCTGAAGATCCTTCAGCCTCCAGGATGACAGGAGAGAGCTACATGAAGGAAATTATTGAAATCACTTATCCTAACACAAAAAAACTGAAGTCAGTTTGAACCATGAACTCTTTGCAAATATAACAATTCCTACTCAATTTACTGTGGAAGCAGCACTACTACAGCTTCTCTATTCCTTTTATGTGCCTTGAACGTAATTTTTCCTTCTTCAGGTTATCATTAGCCCTTCAAAATACTCTTCGAATATCTGGACTTTATGAAAATTCCTAGTGAAGAAAGTGTTTCCAGATTTATGAGTTTTTGGAAGAAAAACATTTAAGGGAAATACGTTTGTATTATGTAGACCCTGAAATAAATAAAATTTACATTAAATGTGTTTATAATACAAATTTC